GGTTGAGCAAAAAAAACACTAAATGGTTGTTCCTGAAGAGACATTTATATCAGTTTCTGCGTGCAATTTATATTTAGATATTCTAATGGCATGTTATTTTCCTCTATAATGACAACTGGGGACCATCACAAACCCACACTTACCTCTCGGCATGTGGAAATATGAGGAAAAACTGTTTTCTTCCAAAGCTTCTGTAACTCTGGAACAGACTGAATGGTATCTTTTATTTATGGCCAGTACTGGTGTGATACATAAATAATTTCTTCAACAAGATGTTGAGGGCTTGCGGTGTCGTGGCTGATTTGCAATTTAGGTGTGGCACTGAAGGCCAGAGGTGCTGGATTTGGCATTAACAAAAAAAAAAAAAAATAGTCTTAAGCTGCGATCGGGTGTGTGCGACTGAATGGGATTTCCATTTGCATCCGAAGAGCCGATTGCTGCCCCAGATTGTATTGAAATGAGGGGACATCAGATTGGTTTATGGTCGTGATAAGATTTTTTTTTTTTTTTGTATAGCTTTCGCTTAGTACCTTTTAAACAGTCCTGCCTAGAGATGCCTATACATTACAGATTCATTATTTAAATTCCATCTTTTTTGCCATACTTATCGTGCAGATGATTTGACATAAACCCACATACGATCCATCCCAATTTTGACAGCGAGAAACGTTTTGAAATATGAAATATGAAATATGAAAAAATTAATGCGGACCACGTTTGCGCATTCGTATCGCATCAACGCATTAATTCATTGAGGTCAAAAATTATTTTATTGCGCGTTAAGGCAGTATTCTTTCATTACTCTTTTGAAAATCCGTTGCTCCCTGTTTCTAAATACACTGTGTATTCCGTCGGGATCGTGAGGTGAGGCGTTGGTGCACAAATCAAGACGACAAACAGTGGTTTGGTCCTGTATTTATCTTGTGTTAGCAAAACTTAATTCCAACAAAAACGTTCCAACCTCCCCTCAGGGTAATCCGCCTCATCTCTTTCAGCTGGACAGCAGCCTTGAGCCTGCCAGCCCTGCTGACTATGGGAATTGGAGTTAATTCCCCAGATGCCATGATGGGTTGTAGTCCCTGTTGCAACCACTGGGAGGGGATGTACCTCCCACTGATGACATCACAACACATACAAACAAACCGCATTTCTCGTTGGACACAAATAGCAAAATAAAGTACAATAAAATCAATAAAGATTGCAAGTTTGAGGAAAGTTTGACAGCTTGTTTCGTCTTTGCCTTCTTTCCATTGTGGTTGGAATGCACAGGCTTGCAGGGACTCAAGCCCATTGGACTATTTCCTGCAGCTGAGATCTGTTTCTCTTACTGACTGACAGAGTGAAGGGAGAGATGCCACAGACCCTCGTAAAGAGAAGGACATTGTCCCTCCCTCTCTGATTTCCTCTCGTGAATGTGTATACGCGTGCGTTACGTGTAAGAGATTGAGCCGAACCTTCTTCGAGTGACGCAATTTCTGCAACTCATGCAATAGTTGACGCTTCCAATACAGTCCACTATTTTTTCTTTTCACCTTCAAAATGCGGACAGCCCTACATCTTTCTTGAGCTAATGGACGGTGGCAGATTGAATGCACTGCTTCCTGCTTCCTCATTTCCAAGAACTCTGAAAGAGCAGAAGGGAGAAAGAGAGGTATTTCCATCATGTTCCAGTGGAGCCATCTTAACTTCCTCTTTGTTCAGTCTATTGATTCTGGTGCACTCTGACTCTGTGTGCCAAGCCGGCAAACCACCCACTAGCGATGTCGGGGATGTGAATAGGAGTTTGATAAAGCCACAAATGGCATGCTGCTACCCCCCCACCCCCCTCCCTCCTCCTCCATAACTGCCATTACTGATGTGTTGCCACATTAATGTAGTCGATACCATTTCTGCCGCTGGAGCTGAGAAATTGATTAAGATGGAGAGTGGAAGGTTCTATAGATCTCGATGAGTTAGCGCGTCTACAAATATGAGCCCATGAGGTGCACTGCATGCATCCGAGCTTCTGGCGGTTTTACATGTAACATTTCCTTAATACAGACTAATAGAAGTCTAATCCAGCTCAATCTGCTCAAGAGCATCCTCCTTACCATTATTTGGAGGTATGTTCTTGAAAAGGCCGACCATGTTAAACTGTGCAGTAGGGTACGTACTAATAAATCTAGTATACGTTTTAAAGGTAAGGGAAATTCTATCATGTATCGCTGATTTATCTCCGTGGAGCATCTTTGCACCTCGGTATCTCTTGAATAAAAGCTTGCTGTATCTGGAAATCTAAAATTGATTACTGATTTGCTCGTATCCAAGTTGTTGAGTGAGTGTTGTTACGGCAAGAGCAGAAGGGAGAAATCACATCATTAATTAAAAGAACATTTTGTGGTTTGAGGCGTTTACACAGCAGGGGACAATGTAAACATCTGCACCAAATTTGTGTCATTTTAATTTGTGCCAATTGTAAAGCAGAATTAACAACCTTTAAAATGTAAGTGGTAAGGAAACTGCTGGGGCTTATTTGGCGTGTTCCTCCTTTATTGGAGTGCAAATTGCTCGACTAAAGGATTGCTTTGCAGACGGTAGTCGATGGTTGAAATGCATGTTTTGAACTGAACTTATTATTCCATCAGAAGCCGGGTTTCTTGGGCTCAATGTTGAAATTGAAATGATATAACTCATCAAACTGGACACTCAGGAATGATCAGCCTGACGTGACTGAGTAGGAATGATGAAAAATGATTAAAAAATGTCCTCGCTGACTCATAATAAGAATAAAAGTTGCCGCGGGACAATTCACATCATGTAAAGACAAATGAAGAAGTGGTTTGTGGCCTTTGTGTAACCATTTGGACAGCCGTCCATGTAGGGGTACAGAACCAAATCCAGTTTGAACTGGATTTCGAGGAGCGAGGAAAATAATAAATAAGGGATTAGGTGATTTGTAAAATGTAACAAGAAAATAAAAAAGTAAAACCTACCATCATAAAATGTCTTGACGTGCCATTACTTCCCAACAACTTAAGTATGTGTTGTGCAATAATATGTTTTTGTTTGCGTTCACTTTCATTTTACAAAACCAGCAAAAAGGTTTCTTCAAAAAAAGAAAAAAAAAAGCTTTCAAACAGACTGACAACATCGTCAAATAAAAGGGGGTCGAAATCGCAGATCATTGTGTCTCGCTTCTCATGCCAAGTAACCGTGCACTCCTCCGGCCAAACTGAGAATCCATACGGATCCATGCTTGTCTTTTCTTCTTTTGTTAACGTGACATTGACGTTTGAACGCTTTGGAGGAATCCGTGCTATGCTAACTATTTATATGGTTGTGTTTTTAGACAACGTTTAGATTAAGTTCAAATTGTGTTTCTAGTTGCTACTGACGGGCATTCAAAGTGTCCCTGATGAGCTATACGTGGATATTGGATCGCTAGTAAGCAAAGTGTTCCTTGGTCGTGTTGCTTGGTCTCTCTTTCCTAGATACTGAAAATCCATTGTCTCCCGCCATGTAACTTTCTGTTGGTGCCACCGGTGCTGACAGCGGCAGAACACATAGCAACACACTGCTCTGCTCATGTCTAAAAATGTCCTCCCGATGCCCCCTCCCGAGTCTTAGAAGTGAAAGGAGGAAGGACAAGGCGTTGCTGTGACACGGAACAGTGGGAAACATTGCCAGCGAACCAAATCCTCCCCTCCTTTTTTCTTTTCTGCACTGAATTTGAACCACTGAAAAAGAAAAAGCCACACGCTGCACTTTGAAATGGCAAACAAAACAAACATTATTACTAAATGTTATAGAGGATTGTGTTAAAAATGTATGCAATCAAATGTTCAGTAACAAGTTGGGAGTTGCCAAAACTTTTTCTGTCTCTAAATCTGGTTTAGAAGAAGCCCAAATTGATTTGGATATTCCCATCCCGATGCTAGCAGTGGTCATGTAGTGGAATGATGAAGCTCATTTTCCCTCCTGGGCTAAACACGTCTGTTTTGGTAGCTGTGGCTCTTGCTCTTAACGCAGAGCAATGGTCTCATTTTTCCAACCTCTTGCCGTAATCTTCATTTAAGTGGAGGAGACTTAACCTTGGAACTTTTTTGTGCCAATAGCTGAATGCAGCCCAGAGCCAGGATCAGGTGTCATGAAACCTAAATTGTACTGCACTAGCACGCCATAAAGGCAATTGTCTTTCTCACACACACACACACACACACACACACACACACACACACACACACACACACACACACACACACACACACACTCTGGCCCTTAAACACACTAAAGCTTTGTTTCCTCCAACTGTCGCCACAAACTGTCTCAAGAGTGCTACTCCACATTCAGGACGGCCAGTTCAGAGACAGGGACCTTGAACAAAAGTATTAAATCACAGAAGGCAATATAAGTGTTACTGTACTTGGGCAGGAACGGATTCATTTGGTTGAAAGAACAATTGGTCACTAGACCCGTGTCATCCTTATTAGCCCTCTGTACGGCCATCACGTTTTCTGCATTCTGCAGTGTATAAATATATATCTATCCATCATATGCACTTTACAATAATAATCGAAACACTAGGTCCTTCATTTACAACCGCTGGTCATAAGTTGGATCACCTATTTCTAGCTGACGTTCTTTTTATTTACGGTTGTAATGATAACATTTATTGCTGAATTCTGATTTAATCCGCTGTAGCCAGCTGGCTATTTAAGCCCACGTTTGCTCCGTGAGGTGCTTAGAAACACGGTCTCCAGCTTCTTGTTTCAAAAGGAGACGCCTTCCTGTCTCATAGATGATGTTATGCAAAACCACGTAGAGGACACGAAAATAATCAGCATTGTTGTTGTTGTTGTTTTGCAGGATAGAGACAGTAGGCCCGCCAACATTACAACTGTCTTGAGCACGGCGGCTTTACAGCGGCTCCTGAATGCTGAGGGGGATTAAATGTTCATTTTTTTTTGTCACAATATGACTGTTCCAAAAGATGCTCGTCTCTGTCAAAAAAGCTCTTTAGACTCATAGACAGTGTCATTTAATGAGAGGCACTTACAGTGGACTCTAACACAATTCGGTGTTTGATGACAACCTTGTTAGGAAAATTGAATCTCTCAAATGAAATTGGTCTCGGTGATCAGTGTGTCACCCGGTGGGATTCATTTCGAATCGTTGACCCTTCGTGAATTAAAGCTCATCTTCTGAACGGCGCCGCTTCTCAGAGGCTCGCGCAGCAGGATGCAGGCTTCCAACCGCACCAGCTCTGCAAAAAACCTTCCCCTCTTTCCATTTGATTCAAGGATTAGATTTGATTACAGACTTGAGCTGGACAACCTCTGCGACAGCCGTGCAATCTCTCCCCCCCCGCCAAATCTTCTAGTTAAATTTACATAGAGCAGGATATTCCTCCAATTGTCCCACGTTTCATGAGCACAACAAGGATGGTTACAACACGTTACAAAAAAAAAACAACTGTTGTCATACAACTAGGAGTTAATATGTTGACCGATATATTGCTATCAGCCACTGTTGAGTCAACGATTGGTAGTTGTAGCTTTTCAAAAATCCTTTAAAATGACATTCAGCTATTGTCCTCGGCTTGTACATATCTACAAACAATACACTGTTTCACTCCACACATCAGGTCCAAATGGTACCACTTAATAAAATGACTGTTCAACAACAAGACAAAGACATGTTTTTCCTTTTCCCTTTGGTGGAACTGTATTGTGTGTACTGTAAACATAGTTTTGACAGTAGCTCTCAAATGAAGAGAACCATGTGCCACACAAGCAAAAAAAAAAAAAGAATACAAATAATACAACCAAACTCTGTGCACTCGTAGTCCTCATCCTGGACTTAACGGCAGCAATAGAAAACAAGTAATACATCTTTTTGTTTTGCTTAGTCATGAAAATATCTGTTTTTTATACAAAAATTAAATACAGTTACAGTATGTTACAACTTGTGAGCTCAAGCGTGACTACAAAGCCTCTGAAAAAGAAAAGGTATTAGATTGGTTCTTGTCAAGGGGCTTGATAATGATACATGTGCAGCATTTGGCAAAACAACAGACACCGTTTCAACAAAGAAGGATCACCAGAATCACCAAAGCACAGGGAGGAGAAGGTGATGGGAAGGAGAAGAGAAGAAGTTGGCAAGTAAGGAAGGAGTCAAGTAAGGATGGAGGCAGTGAGGCAAACTCTTTTAACATGTCCCCGTCCGCCTTGTCATTTTTTAATAAGTTCAGATTATCCTAAGAAATCACGTGTCTAGTTTTGTACAGTTTGCTCTCAGAGTGTTCCGAGTGCTCTATCGGAGTCTGCTGTTAATTAAGTATCGGCCAATGACGTAATCACAAGGGGAGGGGGGGGGGCAACCGCGTCCTCGGGGACATTATAAGCCCGCATTGACTTCTCCAAGTCTTTCACAAATCCATCTTGCATTCAGTTTAACCCGACAAGCGCACAATCCGTCTCACTGGTGAGACCGTCTTCCACCACTGTGGCCTTGAAAATACAAAATAGCTACGTATATTGTACGCCAAGCACATTGTCCACACGTCCCGCGTCCTTTTTTTTGTGTCCCTGCGCTTGAGAGTTCAAGCTCAACACACGTGTTCTCAGACTTCTGGTGGAGGATCGGAGGCCGGGTCTCGGGCCTCTCAGCAAAGGGAAACAATCGCATATGCGGGAGCACTGCGAGGCTGAGCGCGAGCAGGCGGCCGATGCCGGGGCGATGGAGGGCGGCCCGCCCGGACAATTGGTCGTCACACTCCCCGGGGCCCTGGCAGCTCGCTCGCTCGCACAGGACGCCCGTGAAGCCGGGGGAACAGTGGCAACGCTGGTGGTGGTGGCAAGAGCCGCCGTTCTGACAGCGCAGCATCGCGTTGTCGCACACCCGAGCTGTGAAAGACAAAAGGAAACAGGACAGGGTGATTAATAGATCACTCGGCGACAAGGGCGGCGGAGAACATAAACGGGCAGGTTCGCAGGGCACGAGCTGGCCTCTTCCCGTCCTTGTCCGCGTCGCTCTGTGACATGCCACAAGGGTGAAGCCGATGACTTTAAGCGGAGGGGTGAGCGGAGGACAGGGAGAGAGCGATATCCAGGGCGAAAAACTGTGTGAGTGCTAGAATGCAGTTCCATGAATGATTGTTGATGACAAAAGAACACGGACGGAGGTTTTATGGAGTCGGGTGGGGGGGGGGGGGTATTTTCGGAGCACCGAAGGGGACTTCCGAGCAAATAATCCAGGCGAAACAAAAAGAGCAAATAAACCGTGGTGGTGATGAGGTGAGATGAATGGTTAGTGAATCAAAGGACGCTGGATGAGTGTGTGTGAAACAGCCCCCTTGTGCAGGACGGGAGAATACAATCGGTGTTCCCCTTTGGCACAATGTCACTCCCATAGAAACAGAAGGAAGACATGGAATCAAAACCTGGCTCTACCTGCACCACCGCTCTCTTTGATATGCAAATAAGCAGTTTTAGATATTTGCCAGTTATCGTTTTATTCTCTGTGGTTAGCATTACAACAACCAATGTGCAATTCCCGGTTTGGAAAGAAAAACAAAAACTAAATTGGTCTATTGGCCACCCAAGCGCTTTGCATTCATATGGATTGTTTAGGACTTCCTAAGCCAACATTCACATTTACAAACAAGAACTCGCGACTCAATTATTCCAGGAAGCCTCTCTGTTGGCAGAGGTGGAATCCTGGAAGAGGTCCTATTTTTCAGGAGATTTCAGTGTAATTGGATGTCTAAACTTGCATGAATACAAATCACCTTTTCGTTTTTTTGTAATGTGGCTCATGCATCAGAATAAACAAATAGTCCCATTATTCCTGCCAAAACTCATTAAAACGGTATTGGTTTGCTTTTAACTTAATATGACTCCCATCTTCTTTACTCAGACATCACTGCTGTTAAGTGCTTTAAATAGAATTTCCCTCTGTGGAAAACGTTTTTTTTATCATCAATATGGGATCTGTAGACCATTTTTTCCTTGCCTCGTCTGTCCCTACCTTCAAAAACGCTAAAAGATTTGGAATACAAACTGTATGTTTACAGGTTGATAATCTTTATTAGTCATTATGAGAACATAAACACCAGCTCTAGCCAGCAATCAATCAGGCTCCTTACTTATATTTCAGCAGGGCTGTGTTGCATGATGGATTTTTCTCTATGTGATTGTTGAACACTGACACAGAGGTAATGAGACTGGCGAGGAGCCGCTGATCTTTGATTCAGACTGACGAGAAAAGCTGACATTTACAATTGACGTTTTACATAGATTGCAATTCTTTGTCCACAGAACTCAAATCGTTTGTTTAAATTCAAATTTCCACACAACTCAGCAGCAGCCAATAAATCCAAGTGCCATTTATCCTGTTGTGTGCTCACTACTTTTATTTCCTCATTTTGTGGCAGAAGTATTCCCCTACGCCCATCCAACAGGGTTAAAGCTTCTTGACGGTTCAATAATGCCCCAAAAATGAGCACTTTACTGGTGCCAAATTGTCCGTACTTTGAGCTTTGCGTGCATAGGAATGTACCCCGGAGTGTTGCTCTCCTCTCCCCAGAGCGTTCACACATTAATGGCCTTCTGGCTGCGCCGCACTCGGTCATTTTAAAGCTGCTTCCTTTTTTACAGCTAATCGAAAACACCTGCTCTGTTTGTTTTGGTCAAAATGGACCGAGGGATCAGCTGAGTCCCCATTGTCTGGTCTACACATTAACTTTGTTTCCGGTTGCCAAAACATAATCTCTGCTCCCTCCAGCACGCCCTCCGTCTCGCATTTAGAGACCAATTAGTTTGCAGATGCCTTTGCAAACTAATTGCAGTGTCAAAAAAGCGAGTCAACAAATTATTCTGTGCTGCTCAAAACTCACATAATGACATCACATCATCTGTAAAATGAACATCTTTGTGATGCTTTTAACTAAACAGGGAGACAAATTAGTCTCTTGTTAGTTTTGTGTACAGTAATATGCTAATGCTATTACTATGCTAGTAATATGTGCAGAGCAAGATGCGATTAAACTAATTCAAACCATGTTAGTCAAACATATACATTTAGAAAGTAAATTAAAAAAACAAGATCATCAGATATGATAGATGTACAGTTCATGGAAAAGTAAATTCTTTTTAGAAGAGAATTTAGTTAATATATTATTGCACTTTATTGTTCAGTAATTGATTATGAAATATAATTTCATTCTGTTTGCATGATTTTACATATTTTTACATATGACCATGTCTTCAAAAAGGGGTGTTGACTCACTGCCTCCACATTTGTGCTGGCAACATTTGATGCATTTTGAGTCCTGGCTCAGCACCGGCGGACTCTCTCTGAACATATGGGCCCCTCGCACCTCCATTAAATGTGTGACATTTTAGCAGTATAACCGTCATGACGGATCTATGCTTGGGCCTCGGTGTTGCACGAATCAACAGAGAGACGATTCACTACAATAACAACACAACAGTGATGGACAAGATGGACCAACAGCTAAAATAAATGTCATATTGGCGCTTGTGTGACGGGAAGCACAGTGATATTGAAAGCAGTATGTGTTTTTTTCGTACTGTGCCAAATTCTTTTACATACAAAAGATTGGATTATTTTGTTAATTAAATTATATTTAATATATTTTGATACTGAGATTTTTTTTTAATGGCAGTTTTGTCAAAAAACGGGGATGCTCATCTTGTTTTGCCAAGGGAAAATGGGAGACTATGTGCCAGTTAATTAGCAGTACAAACATGGGTCCAGCCCGTACCTGCATCTGGAGGAACATTTCTTTTGGCACTCTGGCACCTTATTTGAAAATTAAAACAAAATGTGAATCAATTTATTTTCATTGCGAACATTAATATGGTTAGTATGCCACCTGGTCCTCCATGTGGGTCGGGCCGGCCTTAATTAAACAGTTCCATAACCTCCATCTTACATCACCTTCTGATGTCCTCTGTTCCCTTCGACTGAAGTTTATTAGAGAACAGTTTATTTTTTTGAATTCTTATGAAAGTGATTTAGGCTCCACCTCATGGGAATTTAATCAAATTTGTACAAATTGACTGATTAGATTTTGGTGGTCAAAGGTCACTGTGACCTCACAAAACACATTTCAGGCCATAACTCTTAAGTTTGCATTTGCCTATTAAAATGATAAACGGATTTGGGATAGACTTGGATATTAATTGCAACATGACTAGTTGGCGGAGAAGGATTTTTGAAGTCCTTTTATAACCATAGATTCACTGGTGCAATTAAATATGACTGGAGGCAGTTCTCAGATACAGGATCGGCTAATTATATGTTTTAGAGATAATTGTATTAATGTTATTGTGTCTTTTTGCCGTTGCGTCAGGGTAAGTTGAAACCCTCCTGAAACTCTTATCATATTAACACGGAGGCTTCTTCATTAGTCATGACTCGGGGTATTGAAGTCCATCGTAGCACTTGGCAGTGGCACTGATACAATAATGCATCTGAAGATGGAAAGTGCCTGATTTTCCTTACACTGAAGTCCTACATTAGTAAGTGCTTGTCAAGTCAGAATTGGAAGATAAGAAAGTGCTATAAAAGGAATAGTTAAGGCGGAAATATTCTCTTTCTGGCTTAGAGTCAGATGAGAAGATTGGTACCATGATCATGCAGCAATGCTAAGCCCCCACCAGCAGCCTGGTAGCTTAACGTAGCAGAGTCAAAGAAGTCTGGTTTGACTTTGTCAAGTTGCACTTTGTTTGTATAATCTGTATGCAAATAGAAATGTAAAAATTAAAAGGTTATCAAAGCTACATGTTGTTACCATTCATAGTAAAAAGAGAGGCTGGTTGCAGTGAGTCTCTGGAGTCTCCGCTGGCTCTTCATGGACGTTTTTCTTGTAAAGAAATAAGACACAACACATTTCTTGGAAATATTTAGAGGTGCTGGTTGGTATATTTTAAAACAAAGTCTGGCTTACATCTTTTTTTCCTCTGCGTTCAATCTTGTTAAATCAAAACAGATTTTGCAAAATGTTTACTAATTCTTTTGAAATATTGCTATATTTTGTTCATTTCAAAATACTTATATTGACTAATTAAGTCCACATTGGTTCAAATATCCGTTGATTCCCTTTTACTTTCACATGTCAAATAAATAATGCAAAACCAATTCAAATCAATATCAGCCTCCAGTGTCACAAACATGAATATTTATCTCTTTTCTCTGTTTTGATATGACTGTAGACTGTTGGTCATACAAAAAAGAAATGCCGCCATTGTTTGATGACATTTTATAATTATAGATTGATTCAACAATATTGTTTTTGTGGATTGTTGGTTGCTATTGCAGTTCAAAATGTCACCTCTCTTTGCTCAAGATTCCTACTAAAACCCCTACTGCCTTTGAGCACTTTTCAAGCTGAAGTAATTGCAGGATGGACAAACATACTATAAGTCAGATTCAAACTTTGCTGTGAAAAGTGTAAAATGTAAAGATGCAGATTACACAGGAAGGAATGGCCAGGAGTTGTTTGTAATTAACTTAAGTTGAGTGTCTCTTCACCTCTGAATGCACCAACGACTGGATCATTCACATTTGTTCACCTCGTTCTCAGCTTTGTGAGTCCAGAGAGGAGAACACCTTGTCTCAATAGTAGAAATCCTGAGTGCTAGTTGAGTTTTTTTTTTTTGCCTGGCTGTGAGAGCGGTGTGCACACTCACTACACAATATCTGGGTTTGAGGATAAGCCGGAGTTAGCTAGAGATCAATCTACATAAACCCCCCTGAAGCCTTCTGTCTCCTTCCCCTCTATTCTTTTTTCACCTCATGGACACGGCACAGAGGGTGGACCCCCAGAGAGCATGCTTTGTAATTAAAAAGAGGGCATGATCAAAGGGGTTAGGAGGTTGAGGACTTAGCGATCATGAGGTCCATTCCCTACAGTGTTCTCACAACTAAAAGCCTGCCTTGTAGGGATGTTTGTATGCATGCAGGATGAAAGCATCTTGGCTTTGGGCAAACAACCTATTTGTGAATTCTACATTAGCCTTTTTTCGGTGCAAATTAAGTATTGTTAATGTCATGCTGGAGTTACAAAGCCCATAAGCCTACCTTGGTTACGATTTGCAACACCAAGAGATGAAGCATTTGCTCGATCTGCGTAAAGATGGGAAAGGTTAAATATTACACCGAGTTGTCATATTTTTCATGCTGTTATTTAGTTAAAGCACAGGGACAGCATGCAGAAATTCTTGTTTATTCTTTTTCTTTTACAATAATCGGAGTTATCTCGGCTGGTTTGCCGCAGAATTATTGAAAAGTTTCTGCCACGTGTTTTGAATTAGTAAATGGACTGCTGTAAAATTGTGTGCATGCAGCCTAAATGAGTGAAGCTTGAAGAGAATGGCAGAGACGTGTACATATGGTAGCCACTTTTGTGATCCAGTATGAGGAGATGCCTTCAGGCATCGACATGCTTATGGATGCATGGCGGAGGCCATGTCTTCATGAAAACGTTTTTTCCTTTCTCTGGCTCAGGGCAAATATCTTTGTTAAAACCAGTTTCAAACAAATATTCTTATGTGGAATGAAGCCCCAAAAAGCCCAAACATGCAGGACGTTTTAGAAAACTAGCAAATTATACTGCAGAAAAAAGCAAATTATGCTGCAGTTTTATGTATTTCCGTCTTTAAAACAACGTATTTCTGGAAGGTGGAAAAGAATTGAAGGAATTGAGTGTTCAAGTGTACATTGGTCCATTTCTATTCATTTCTGTATAATATGTAAATATCTGGAGTAATTCAACAAAACGTTTAAAAAGCTTGATTATTATTACATTAACTGCTACATGGATACAGATGAAAAATTTGCTATCAACTTAATTTAGATCAAGTATAAAAAATAGCAGAGCACGGTTTGCAAAGCTATTAGCATGAATCTATGTAGTGTAAACAATTCTAATAAAATCCCTTTTGAAATTAGTTTTTTCTTAAAACAAACCATTGTATTACATTTTTCATTCTCAAAAAGGCATTGGAGAAAGTATGGTTTTCTCACAGCATGCACAGGCATTCATAAAGTAGGATATCGATATGTAATTCTACATAAACGCCTCTGGAAAACATACTGATGAACGATAATGGAAATGAACAAAACAATTTCTCACACTAACATTATCAATCAAACAAGAGTTAGTCGTCACTGGGGGCGGAAGACATTAGTCAGCATGCCAATTCAAAAAACTTGATCAACTTACGCACTGGTCCTTGATTGCTGGGGATACCTGCGTAAAGAGCAAAGACACAATATTTCATGAAAGGATGGAACTCTTCAAAATTGACTGCATGAGAAAATGTAATTGTTCCCCTTGAATAATTCAAAGCCCACCGACTAATCAAATTGATCTCCACTGTGTCCACTGATTAGCAGCGGCTATGACTGTGCAGAGCACCCGGCCACTGCATCGTCCGGCACCCGCCTACATCTGATGATAATAACAGGTCTGCCAATGACGAAATGTCAACAAAATCATTCATCTAAATATAGAAAAAGCCTTTTCGTCGGCATTGTATCAAATAAACTCATATAAAATGAATGACGTTCCCGAGATTTAGGCCGCTGCCTGTGAGCTGGGACGGAGGTTGGCAACCCGGTGTCTGGCTTTGTCTTTGTGTTTTCGGTATCTGGCTGTGGTTTCACCTCCTTTCTGTTACGTTAATGCAATCAGCAGGGAAATCCTAACACCACAATTAACACAAATTGGGATCATTTCCTCATGCTTTATCCCTTATTCCATGTGTGATTCTGTTTCAATGGGCTTTCAAATTGTTTTGTACCATATTCATCCCTTTATTACCAATTCTGGGCTGTCACAACACTGCTGGTAGAGGGAAAACCACAGATGTGCTGCTGCTATTTGCAAGAAAGCAAGCAAATGGCAATTCCTAACCAATAGTTGTTCTCCATGAGGAAGGAAAGCAATTTTGCCCTTCGAATCCAAAGCACGAGCCCTAACCCCTCTTAACCTGCAAACCTGATTTTGAACACAAGATGAGTTGAGGCTTTCTGCAAAGTGGGCTGTCAACATAATTCTTGAAGTGATTCCTCTCCTGCTCTCCAGGCTACTTAGAGCTTTTTTCCTCCCCCCTCCTCCTTTTAGGGAAGCCTAAGATTAGAATCACTCTCAGTCACACTGCTGATGACAGCTATGTCCCACAGCAACGCTGGGCTCCATTTTGGGCTCTAATTTATCAGATGAACGGTCATGTATGTCCATATATCTTTACGTGCAGGGATTTGAATATGTAATAGACCTCGCCCTGTTCCTATCTGTGAGATAAATGACTTCCGTGATTAAAGAGGAAGACCCGGTGACAGATGAAAGCTATTAGACCATAATTACATTTTGCACATTCAGCATATTCTTTTTGATACCAGGCCTGTATATTTAATACCCTCGTAGGAAATATGAGCTTCACATAATGTATAAAGGCATGTTGAGGGGCCTGGGCTTTATTTATGAAGGAAATAAGAATAACTCAAGACAAAAGTGTTCATTCAACACCTGCGGGTCCAATATTGTTACGTCACTTCCGTGACATTATTGCATTTTATGCCACTACCAAACAAGTGCTAATATTGCTTTTGATATTGCTAGACCTCGGTTTCATCAGTTCAGCACAGATGCGGCCAAGTGTTTGATATTTTAATAACGGCCTGTCAATCTGGCAGTGAGCCCCACATTGAAGTTAGAATCATAACACAGGAGAGGTGTAGGGGTAAATCCAGCAATATCGCCTTAGTTCACAGATGCTCCCAAAAACAAACTCCCAATCACAATCAAATGCATAATACTCAGACAGGCAGTTGCTCACCGTACAAATATACACCAAATTAGAGTATCAATTCAAGTGAGTACGAGTAAGTTTGATCAGGGCACCATGTTTCAAATTTCAAGTCTGACAATCAAAATGAGCTTTTGAAAAAAAACAAAAAAACTTTCGGAGGCTGAATGGGTGCGACTGGCGGACCAGAGGGTGAGATCTTCCACCATCTGGCCTCGCCTGGCCGTCCACGACCACATCCCTGAGTGGCTATATTAGATTTATTGAGGCAATGAGCCCCCTGCCTCAGGCATGGGCTTTGATAAATGTGACTCAACTCCCGCCCAAGATCATAATGGGGATAATGCAAAGAAGCACCTTCTGCCCCAGAACCACCACGTGAACAGGCAGAAAGATATCGAGCTTTAGGTTACACAAAGTAAATCCAATGTTACGGTATTGAAAGAAAGTTATATCGTCTGAATAAAACGCACAATTACTAATCTATTATTAAATCCATACAAGACACAACTAACGCACTCAACAGGTGCTATTATTTAAATGACAAAAAAAATAACCAAGAGGCTTATCAAGGCTTTCTGATGAACCACCTTCTATGGTTGAACGTCAGGTTACATCCAGGCGACTAAAACTGCCTGTTTGACGAAATAACGTTTGCTGAAGGTTTGCTCACGACCCCTTTGAGGAGCTTTCCTCTATATCTCACCGCCTTACTGAGAACCGCGCGCCGGCTGAGGGATAGGCCTGGGCTTTGGACACGAGGAGATAAAAGGGGTCAAAACGATCAACGAGGAGTCGCTGGATGGCCAGACGGACGAGCCGAACACAGACACACTCCAACAGCCACAAGCTGTGCGTTTGTTGCCGAGCTAGTTGATGGCTAAGTCCATCCAGCTTGTGAATTGGCTATTTTTGGGGGACAATAGAGTGATGCCACCGTTAGTTCCATCTTCGCTTCTGAGTTAACAGACATGAGGCGTACAAGAAAAGACTTTGAACAAATGGCGCGAGTTGTTTTTATGCCCGGGTGCAGGCGTTGTGTTTTCAGGTCGTTCGTCTGTCCCATTTTTGTGTACTTTTATGTACTGATTGGACTCCAGGATGTACTGATAATATATTTGTTAAAGGCCAAGGTCAGTGTGACCTCACGTCCGGCCCATTTTGGGGAGCGCAACATTTCAGGACTGCCTTGAATGATTTCTTTCAAATTTGGCAGAAATCTTCCTATGAACTGATTACATTTTGCTGTTTGATGGTTACTTTGACTTCAAATTACACCTTTTTGGAAAGAATTATGAGAAGTCAATAAAATGTTTGATTGGATAAATGATAATTAAATGCTTACACGGCAGATATCCAATTTTTAAAAGTCTAATATTCTTTTCAATACAAATTCCACTTCTTTTGGTACTGTAGGATGGTCACGGCCATAAGGAAACATACAACAACAAAAAATAACATTCAGTGAGGTGCAGCCCAGAAGCAAAGAGATAATATGATAAAAAGATGCAGCAATCTCTCGAGATCAAAGAGTAAAACTTGAAAGGTACGATGTTTCATTTTTGCATCAGACACCAGCGTCGGCTGTAGCCAGACTGAAAAACGAGTCCGCATGGCCACTCGTTATGTTCAAGCATAAAAAAGCATAAACTGATATACTTACATATATTTGCGGTTCCCTTGGGTATAGGCAGGTAGGAGCCCACACTCCAGGCTCTTCCGTGGTAGTGCCTCTTACAGCGGCTGCAGTCCGGCCCTGTGGTGTTGTGTTCACACTCACAGCCCAGCTTCCCCTTGTCAAACACACAGCTGTTGGCATGCAGGTTACACTTGCACCTGAGGCACAAAGATAACAAACAAAAGACAAATAACGTCATTGAATTGATACCCTCTGGACATCATGCGAAAAGTCTGCTTGTATTTATAAATGCTATTCAAATTTGAGAGGAAATGTTGATGGGTTGTCCGACATGGATCTTTCCAAAACACAAACTAGGCCTCATATGTTGTTGCCTTGGCAAAGCCAATACATCCCTTTGCCTCTCTCTGAGGTAAAAGACACTGTAGGATTCGCTAATTGAGCACAAAACCGGGATCTGATAGGGAGATGATGGCGCAATAGAGAAGCCGTGACGGCGATTCACTTTTTCAGTTGCTCTGTTATTTGGCAGGGAAGCCTGCAGGCGGGAAATCCTACCGGTCGACAGCGCGGGTTTATTAGACAGAAATGTGACAGAGCTCACAGACGCTGCTGACTGGAGAGGAGAGGAGACATAATGGCTCTCAACGCTCAAGCAAACCCAACCCCTCTACTGACCACATGGAACAAGCTCACTTGTATTTCCTGCGATGTGTTTGTTTCAGTCTCACTTGTTTGTTTCTAACAACGTGAAAGGTCATGGAGGAAATTATGTGTTGTCAGAATGTAACCCTTTTGTTGTCGTTGTTGTTTAAGTGAAGGTTGCGTTTACTCCCGTTTCTGTCTGAGGAAGAACAGTCCCAAGTGAGTTGTTACAGTTTCATATTTATATAAATAAACTATAAATCGGGGTATTGGATTTTAATCCTAACTAAACCTCGGCTTCTTGCGAGATTGCGGGGTGGGAGAATAATTTGGAGGGACGGCCACCTTAGGGAGGGTGGGTCTGACACACTGCCCGTCTCCAAGGCTTTGTGCGGCTCATAGTTTCACATCATGCCGGTGTGTGTTTTTACAAAGTGCCTCAGAGGGAAAGATTTCCCCCATTTGAGACGGAAAAGCTGGGTATCTGTTGCCTTTGTTCCCCGGTGAACATGAGACAGAGAAACGAGGGCAGCAGTCAGAAAAACATCCATTCTAATTGACTTCCTGGCTTTACTTTGACATCTCACATTAATGATAGATAACTGCGGGAAATTGTAGCCTGCTCAGTAAATGTGATAAGCAGCAGCAAAAAGGGCTCTAAATACGGATTTACTGGTAACACCCTAATTGGCAACACCTTATTTTAACACCTCTTTTTAGTATTTTTTAATATTATACCCACAAAGGTGAAATGTGCTTGATTATGGTTTGAAGATATCCTTTTCAATGGCTTACTCCAATCCTAGTGTATAATAAACCACTAAGTGATTATGCAAAAATGAAACCAAGCAAAACCTTTGTACATTAACAGATGTATTTTAAACAGAGTAGCAGCAAGATCGTTATACTGTACCTACACTTTCACTAGAACAGATTTTGAATGTTTTTAATTACTCAAAATACTCAAAATTGATCAGGAATATACTTAAAACATAAGATGATTATGGGATCCTTTTATTCGTCTTTTCAACATATACAATGGTTCGTATAGCATTTTATGCGTGTCAAATTCCGCTTCTATGTCACAAGCATGTAGCAAACAGTAGCCCCTGCATATGTGAATATGAATATCAGCTTCCCGCCCTGTGTGGTCTTTATACTTTCTTGTTAATGTTTACATGGATAACAAACAAAAAGTCCATCTGCAAGATAAAGTCATCATCTTTCCTGGAGTTAGTTGCTGTCTCACAACATTAGCAGCCGTAATGGATGAATGCCAGCTCACATTCACACCAACTAAATGCTTCTGCCTCTTACCCCGCATTCCCCGTAGTCCTTAACTTTTTAATCAATTAAAGTCCCTGCTCCACAAAATTAATGACTGGGAGTCTCATTTCTGCCATGCAGACAGCAGCGGCTCCCTCAAGTCAAGAGCGATGAGATTTGACCTTCCACTTAATTAAAAACCAGCAAAATCTCGATCATGGAGCCCAACCGGTGCACGTGGTTCACTCCGGGGAGCTCTGGGATGTGGTGCTGGTGCCGCTGGCATTGTCATATTGAAATCAGAGAATGTTTCTGTCACCATTTTGGGCCACGAGAGAGACCCACTATTGTCCAGATGTCAAACGGGGATCAGTAGGAAGACATCTTTTTCGTAACATTTTGATGATCGTATATTTATTGTACAGCACAATGACAATCTGTGTTATCCATTATCAAGTGAAGGGACCCTCCCTTAGGAGGCCAGACCATTTAAAGTCTTGGTCCCTTCCTCTTCAGTTGCAGTTCTTCAGCTCGGTGTTGAAATACTTGCAGAATGGAGGGAATCAAGACGGTTCTGGGTGTGTTATTGTTCAGGGTGTATGTGAAGAAAGATGACATCGTCTCACTGTTATCAGGGAAATGTTCTGTGTAGGCAGGTCACTGGAGGAGTATATTACTGTGGCATTTTACAAATTAAATTCATCATTGTTGTGAACTCAAATGAAATTACGTTCTTTGAACTGGTGTGAAGCAAGAAATGTAAAGGGAAGAAATCTCTGCAAATATAATCAAAACTATCTACAAGGTTAAATTATATTCTGTCTGGGTAAGACAATATTTAATACAACAACAATATAACAAAGCCTTCATGTCAATCAGGGTGGACTCGGGGCTTCATGGAATTAGGAGTGTTATCGTGACCTTCTAATTTCATTATATTACCTCCTTTAATCCCCACATTAAAAAACCAAACACGCAGCCTCTGCTGAATAACGTGGCACAGACAGAGGAGTAAACGTAGCCTGCGCCAGATGTGACAAAGAACATATATCTCTAAAGTGAAATGAAGGGGAGGTCATGCTGATATTGTGGACGGTGTGCTCTGCGTCTGCTGCCTAACCCCCCCCTGCTTCTCCTGGCTGCTCAGCGCCGACAGGCTCGCTGCGTCGAACACCGCTCTTCTAATTCGTGACAGCGGCTACGTGTAGCATCTCTGATTCAAGACAAAAAGAGCAGCACAGGACTTGTTAAGAGAACCTCAAAAAAGGAGAAGAGATGAACACAGCTTTAGATTTCTCACAGATTTTCAAGTTACGTCTTTTTTTTAAATGAGGTGTATGCTTTGGTGTTGAAAGTAGATGAACCGTTGAACTGCATTTTTGAGTCGATGTTTGTCACTGTACAGCATACAGCCCTGAATTAATAGCTGAAGACTGAAGAGCATGATAAAACTTCCATTTAGCGCCATGCCTCTCAAGACAAATTCACAGCACATTAGTTACATTACATTAGTTTACTGGGTGTCAACTGATAGAAGTGTTCATGCTTCTTGGAGTCTAAACGTCAGAATACAGAATGCAGCAGAGTCAAACAAATATAAATACCTTTATACCATTGACATCCAGTGCAAGCAATGTTTTAAAAAAAAAATGCAGGATAAAATCTAGAGATTAATTTGCCTTTGAAGCCTAACCTATAACCTTGATGTGGGCTCTACAAGTCAACTCACTCAAGTGTCCTTGAGACGGAGTCGGCGTGTACAAACTGTGCTTGGCTGATTTCTTTGCACCTGATACTTGCAAATTCTGACGAGTCAAAGTAAGAAGAGCTCAGGTGTTGATTATAAACTTAAACGATGGCTTTGTTGGATCATGGGACACGTTGATGGAACGGAGACGTCCTTAATGTTATTAGTAACACCTGTGCTTTTTCATTGTGACAAGACGGCTTCATAAAAACACCTAAAAAGTTATTAAAGGACACTTTTGTGTAGTTGTACAGTTAAGGTGACAAAATCTCCTTCCATCCCCATAGTGTTGTATTGTGAGTGTAATTCTTTGCCAACAAAAAAAAAGTCACACAATACACAAAGTTACAATTTAATTTGCCTATTAAATAAACCTTTTAAAAATAACTTTTCCAAATGCAGACATTACTCATTGAGAATTTAATTCATTCTCTGGACTTCTGGAGTTCTTTTTCTGTTTAGTTTTTTTCCTTTTTACCCATGAGAAAACCGGCCTCCCTCAGCTCCACACCTCAGCTGTTCCCTCTCACCGGTTGACCATGGTCAGATCCTTTAATGCGCCTCCATGCTGTATAAATACATACTGAGGTTCGCTGAAACTTTCCTCAACCAGACACTCAGAGCCTCCCACATCCTGCCCAGTGACAGATGTGAAGAGATGGAGGTTGTTGAGGGGGAAACTTTGGCCTTGCTGAAAGTTTTTGATGAATGTCAATGTGTTACCTGGACAAAGCCGAATAACCTGCCAGCACTCTTCAGGGAGAGAGATGCTGTTTGATGTCTTCCACATAAGCGAAATCAGTGCTGTGAAACACGCCTGGTGTACACGGATCCAAATTTCAAGAATTTCAATTGGAAATCTGGCAGCTGATCCTTTTAACAATATGTGATCCTGTCTCGTAACGTTGTGTGAGGACCTTGACGTCCAGCTATATGATGAACATCCAGACCTCTCAGACGATCTGGGAAAGGCTTGAAAATGCTATTGAGGTGAATTTGGCGTACTGTATATTGCACTGCACTAATTGTTATCTTTCTTTGTTATATATTCATAAAAAGTTTGCTCATTCGTATCCTCTATTAGACATTATTTTTTTATCATGTCTTAATGCCTTGCTTTTACATCTGATGTAAAGCTCTTTGATTTACTGGTGTATAAATAGCAAAACAAGAGAACATTTTGTTGACTTAAAGGGTGTTCCCAGAGTTTTTTTTGGCTCAATATGTTAAAAATGGAAAATCTATTAAATATTCAGTATTTTCTCACAAAATTTGAATTGAGTGGTTAAGGCTTAAGTGTGTATAAGGTTTTGAAAAAGCATTTAAACCTTAATGTTAAAAATTCAATTTACTGAGGATACAATATAACAGTTAACTGAAATATAAGAGTAGGAGGGACTCATGACTTCATTCTAAAATCTTGTCGTTGGATGTTACAAAGGTATACAAATCCACTGGATGCTTTCATGTGGGAGCACATGTTGAAGGCCATCTTGTTTTAAATTAAATAATTAAAATCAAATCAAACCCAGCACATAT